CCTATTTTCCACTGATTGTGCCCCCTACCTGGCTGGCCTGCTCTCACACTGTGCTTTAGTGGTCTAGGTCCAAGTAGGGGTATCAAATGGTCTCAGTAGATCAGTTACTTTTGTGCTTTTTTCTTTTTTCTTTTTTCTTTTTCTCTTCTCTTTCAAGCACACAGACACTTTTGAAATATACTTTTTGAAGAGCGGTTTTATATTTTGGGGAATACGTAGGGAAGGAGTGTCACATTAAAAGAAACAGCTTAAACCTTACTTTAGGTGTTGGTCTATTAAATTTGTTAAGCATTACATGTTATCCAAAGGGCAAGATATGGCATCACTTTATCAGCAGTTTTCTATAAGAAGTCAAACTCGTGTGGTATTTTGGCCCTTGTTCTTAAATAATATATGACTATCTAGCTTTTTGTATTGTGATGAAAATGTAGGCTCTCATGTAGTGACTAGCTTGTCCTTTTCCCTTCACTGCTCCATCTCATCTCCTCTTTTATCGCTCTTTTCTCTGTTGGCACTCTCCTAGATCTCCACCTCCCCATCCCATCCTCAAAATGCTTTTTTTTCCACGTCACAGTCATGAACATCATCATTTTCCACCTGTCATCTCTGTGTTGTTTATAGATGCTAATAGTCCACGCAGAGACTGTTAATAAATTAATCCATCCATATGGGAATAAATCCACGTAACTATTGTTTTCGTGTTACTTTGTGCATAGACCTACACTGCATACTAGTTATAGTTTTCATCCCTTGAAATAACCAGTTGGCACTTAGATTGAAGCCATAGTTGCCTTTTAAGATAAAGCTGTTAAGACATGGACAAGCATGTTCTGCACACAATTTTACATGTACTGAATAGTAAATAAACACATTATACATAGAATTATACATTTGTACTGAAAATTATTATATAAAAGTAGTTTAAAACTATAGCCATGACAAAACAGTCATTTAAACTTTTTGACTATCTACACACAGGTAAGCAGCTTCAGGAGCAAATTGCCTTTTTGGGTGAACTGAAAGCACAATAAGCAGCAATGTTTTTCTATGTCTAATGGCCGTCTTCCTTTGTCTCTTCCTTAGTTTCTTATACATGAAACAAATCACTCTTCCAGCCCAAACCTTACATAGTTTCACATCTGAATCACAGTAGCCTTCTAATCTTAGATATTGACAAAAATGACCTTACATTCTTGAACCACTATTTACTTGGATCACATCCATTGTGGTCTGTCCTCATAAAGATCCTGGACCAGCTTTCCACTAGGCGAAGTATCAGACCGAAGTAAGCTATTTCCCAGTCACAAGTGTACCTAATAAGTCACATGTGAATAACTTTCCTCTGGTATATTATACTTCAATGTATCCGATTCAAGCGTTATTCTTCCTGTATGATTATTCCATTTACTTTGTGACTCAGGCTTTAGATGGTCTTGCTTGACTCACAGCTCATTTCCTTTTCCTTAATTCCTTAATTCTTATTATCTGGACCTAGATTCTTTACTGACTCCACATCTGTCATCAGTGATTTCACAAGATTAAAAAACTCTCAATTTAGTTCTTATTTGCCAGCTTCCCTGCATCCAAAATACTAATTTAGAATAATCTTTGTATTTTATTAGGTGATATGGAAAAACCAAAACTCTTTCAGTAGTTGTTCTGATATTATTTGGGGAATTTTATTATAAGGAGGATTGCTCAATCAACTTTCCATGTAACTATGGATAAAAGTATATAAATAGAGATCTTTTTTTTAATACATTTGACCATTTTTAAGCTTTATGCCAGTTATCATTAAATTCGATGGTAATCAAACACATGCCAGATTTATTGATGGTTCATAATGAAAAGATAAATGTGGAAACAATTGAACTTGATGAAATGAACTTTTCATTTTTTATTTATGGCATGCACTCAATAGATTTCCAGACAAAGTCCTGCCCTACTTTTTCTTATCTCTCACTGCCATCCCTGCTACTCCTCCCTCAGTGTTTCCACTGTTTCTGGAATACCATCACTGTCATTCCCTAGTTATTTTACCCCCCTTCCCTCCCTCTCTTTTGCTGTATTTCTCTCCATTTCTCCCCCTCTAATATCTGCATTCCACAGATTTGTGACTGTAGATATACCTTTCTCCTCCCTTCCTGACATTTCTTCCTCCCTTCTCATTCCACCGTAAATTCCTGCCTCCAGATGAACATTTTGCCTTTACCTTCTCACCCCTCTCTATGTAGTGACTACATTCACTCTAAATTCCTGCCTGCAAATTGTTGGCATCTCCTCAGGGAGCAGAGAGGAGGGGGAGTGTCAGCTGTAGTCTACTGGCCTCTCAACTGAGTGACACAATTGGCATCCTGCGCATTTACTGGGCTCAAGGAAGGCTCAGTGTAGGAGGCTGAGAAATCGAGTAATGGTTTTATAGAGGAAGTGTAGATTAGGTTTTGGAGACCCATGAAATGCTTATTCATACCACATCATCATTATTTTATTTTTATGTATATTTATTTTTTGGAGAGTGTAAGATAAACTTGCATATAGACAACTTGTGCTGACGTCTTCCCCTCATGAGCTCTATTCCTTGTATTGCAGTGAAGCAAGTAAGCGAGGAAGGGAAGTGGAAATGTTTGGTTTAACTTTTAAACAATACTGTGAATGAGACTGCATAAGGGAGTTGTAAGAGTCATAATAGAGCCAAATCTGTGGGGGAAGTTGAAGGCCTTCCCTCTTATTATCATTATCACAAAGGCTACCACGATGCAACCGGGTATATTACAGAGGTAGGAAAAAATATCTATACAGCTCTTGGCACTAAATATTTTCATTAAAATATGCAGGTTCCTTAATTACTTTGTCTTAACAGAGTCACTCCTAGCAATGGCAGTCTTGTAGACTTTGGTCATTTTAGATGTAAGTTTGCTTAGATGTTAGAGACATTTAATCCCAGTGTTCATAAACTCTGCAAACTGGTAGTATGGCTTGGTGTACCTTGGTGTGGAATAATGTTGAACTTTTTTTTTGTAAATACAGTCCTTCATTGGCCAGACTTTTATTATGTTTCTGTTGTTGTTGTGTTTTTGTTTGTTTGTTTTTCCAAATTGAAAAAGGGGATGTTAACATGGTCTCAAGCAGCTTAGTTTAGCAGCTTGAAGCTTTATTCTCAACCCACATTGGCAGGCAGCAGGTGAAATGTGTTCAGAGGCGAGAGTAATAAAATTCTGGCTTTGGGCCATAAACACATTTCATTACTTGGCAGACAAGACTTGGTAAAGTAGAAAAGTATTCATTTTTTCCCCTCTATATTGTTAATCTTCCAAATCTGATATGTTTTTGTGCAACTTTGTCCCTGAAGTCACTTACATTGTTGCTATAGATGCATACTTGAATGACTATGCAAGCCAGTGCATTATTGAAGTAGTTGTCTCTATAGAAATCCTATAGAAATTATTCACTTTTATCATCATTTAGAGCTGGGTGAGTGTCCTCCATTTAATTTCCAGCAATTGTGAAAACAAGCTCATCGGACTAAAATGATACAGCTCTTGGTACAACCACGCCCATTTATATTTCTTTATTATTTTTTTTAATTGCTGTGCTGTTTTGCCCCTCCTTAAAAAGCCCTAACTGTCTCCATGCTTAGTTCAGCCAAGATTAGGGTTTGTGCCCTCACTAACCACAGTTTAAGTTAGCAAATAATGTTTCCAACTATTTACATTACAGGTAGTAACTAAAAAATGCTGATTATGACGTTCACCATGTTTTTAAAAAAAATTTTTTGGTCTTTGTTTGTACCCTGCATATTTGACAGGAATTCTTTGTTAGCTTTATGTTGCTAATGCAATGAGGTTTAAAATATCCTAGTTAATAGTCAAACCTGACACCCTGGCATAAGCTGTTAAATATGACTCAGCTTGTGAATTGCATTTGACCTCCTCATTATTCTGGCTGTGTTGTGTTTAATCCAGCCCCAGCGGATTATATTCCACTTTGTGCTTTCTAGTGAGTCATTGCCTGTTGGGTCATTGAACTTTTTTTGTTGTTTTTTTCAGTTTGTTTATTTGTTTGTGAGAATGCCTTTTTTGGCAGAAAACTGGGATTCTGCTTAAAAATATTTAAAGTGCTTGCATAACAGAAGCCTTTTCTCACCCGGCCCTGCATGAGTTTTAGTGAGACCTGAGCTTTCACCGGGCTTCTTCTCAAAGTCAATAGTGTTGAACATTTTCTTTTGCGCCACACAGTTTACTATGCTAATATTTGGTAACTCTGAAGCTTGATGGGCTTAATACTATCTAAATTAAATACCAGCACAGCAGTAAACTTGCACATTAGTTTAATCATCACAACTTAAGGCAAATATGCACTAAACTGAACTTGAAACAATGAACATGATACCGAAAAAGGCTCTTCAAAAGAGTGTTCCCTGCATGTTCAACAGCAGGGTGGTGCTGATTCAGCATTTGTTGACTGTACTGTCCTTGGATTGCTGCTGGATAATTAATTGAGCAAATGGACCACAAAATGGCTGCATTTGGCTGTAGTGTTAGCTGTGCGCAATCACACAGTCATCTACTGGGGTTACTCGGACAGCGCAACCCAGCTCTGCTCTATCTGAGAATGCAGTAGGCTAGAGGTATGCTGGTGGTTGTGCAGTGAACTGGTGATTGCAAATCACACACATTTGTGAACTCTAATGCAGCTCATGCCCTTTTTCTTATCATCCCTTTTTATAAATATATATATTTTTTCCATTCATCTTTACGTTGTCAGGGTCTGCAGGCAGTTTGGTCAATGTATTAACATTTATTCATTGATTGACAGATCAAGCAATTACATTTAGTTTGTGGTGCAATTGCCAGGCTTGTATCATGTCAAGGTTCTCTTTATTAATATTTTTGAGATTTTACTCTGGTCCTTTGCAACAGAAGTACTCGACCGGAATTAAACTGATTAACTTGCGATCTATTCTGACCGTTAGGCTCACGGGACACTCAAAGGATTTGGAGTCCGTTCCCACATCCCATCCCTCACCCCTTTTCCGAACAAATGCAGGGCATTTAACAACTGTTGATGACTTCTTGTGCAGGGTCCCTTGAGGAAAAAAAGTCAGAATCACCCGGCGCCCCCCGCATGTGTCTGTTTATGATCTTTCACCTTATGACCAGAACTAATACCAACCTTTAGCTTGACACTTTTATTCTGACAGGTGGAGATGTTACAAAAGTGCCGCCTGTCTAAATGCCTCCCTTTGTGATCAAAGACACTCATAATATTTTGTTACCTTTTCTTTTTTTTTAATTCACAGTATAATTATAACCGAATGTGAATTCATGGAAATTGCATGGGTGGCAATGAAGAGCAATACATTTTTTTTTTCAGTTGTAAGATGTAATTTGTACACATTATTATATTATAATTGAAAATATTTTAAAAATTTCCTGTGTTTACCTCTGTTGTAGCAAATGAAAGTATCACCATATGAAATCATTTTATAATCTGACAAGATGGAATCCTGACTTAACCTGAGATGATTGGACAAAGATTGCATTGTAAGGAAAAGTAATTGAAAGTATGGCTGGGCCATATCATACCGTTCACGGTAATACCGGTATAATGTTGGGCAACGATAAGAAAATGAAATACTGCAATAGAATACGGGTAAAACGCGCATGCGCAGTGCCTTTGTTTTTATACGCACATGGTGGAAAAAGCATTACGGCTATCGTAGGCAGGAGCCTCGCGGAGTGATTCGTACTGTGCTTCAACATAATATTACCGTGTGTGTGTGTGTGTGTGTATAACCTCTTAAGTTTTGTGGATATTATACATGATTATGCTGAGGATATGTCGGCCAATTTCCACTGGAAATGCCTTTTGGTTAAACTGCCAGCAACGAATTTGCATTTGCACTGTTGAATTTTTATATAACTTTAATGCACATTAAAAGAAAAACAAAAAACAGCTGCTTGTTTAAGTGAAAATACATTGATGGTTTGTTTTTTTTGTTTTGTTTCGCACTAATAAAGTTGTGGAGTTGTAAAGTGTCTTGTCTAGTGTCAATTATATCGTCAGTTATATCGTTATCGCCAATTTTCAAATGTATATCGTGATGAATATTTTTGGTCACATCGCCCTGCTCTAATTAAAAGCCATTTAATTGTTAGTTGTTTATAGCTTGTGTCCTCGTTTTAACACATTCAAATGTAGGTTTGGAAGGTTTTCATGGGCTTTAAATGGTATACTTCCATTTCCCCTGGGGAAGTGGTACCATTGACCTCTGAAATGTACAGACATATTGTCTGGATTAGTGAAAGGGCACTGTGTGTCTCCACATCCCTTATCTACCAGACAGTGGTAAAAACATTATCCTTCTATGTTAATTGCTTAGATGGGTAAGTTTGGTTTGGGGTAGCTGTTTCACTGGCTTATTTTAGCCTGTGTAATGTGGTGATCCACTTGCAAATTATCCCAAAACAGCAGCTGCTCCTTTAAATCATTTTGAATAAACAATGGAGTAGAGTTGACCCCATTTTGAACTTTTAACTGCTACCACAGCTTTGTTTAAGATGAGAGCAATATTGGGTGGTCAGAGGACTATGTTAGGAGGAAGCTATTTATTTATTTATCTTTTCCCCAAGAATCTGTATTATTAAAAGTATTTTTTCAAGCACAGCATGTGACTATGATTTTTAACAAGAATATCTACAACTGTAACCTGTATTTAAGGTTAAGTGAATTGTGAGAAATCTTGGTATAACATCAGCAGCTAAACAGAATTATTAAAACAGGAGATGTGCTGAAAATCATACATCTAAAAGACCAGGAATTCTGAAATTCTTTCATTAAACAATGGAGAGAAAATGACAGTTAGTGGTTGTCATTTGTGACTGCGCAAGTATTCAGTCAGACTTACTATCTTTCCCCTTGCTTTTAAAATTAGGTTTTATGGTTGGGATGATGACCCATAGACAACACAAAGGACAGCCTCACCCCAGGGCTTCTTGGTGGTTTACTGTTTCCTAGTTGACCTAGCTTTCTGTGTTAGGATCTGAATGAGTCTGGTCTCCTGCCAGCCATGGCTTGCCTGCTCACGTGGCAGCTATTTAACACTGTCGGATCCCTAGAGGGCACAGTGTGAGATTTGACTCATTGGTGATTTTAGTTCACAGTGGAAGAGTGTGCATATGTGTAGATAAGGTTATAAAAATATTTCGCCATATTTTCTAAATCCTTATGGGACGGCTGTAAATTGATATAGAAATCTGATCTGGGGTAGTAGTAGTAAAAGCTGCAATAACTCAAATAGGAGCTTCTTTGGTGTGTGTGTGTGTGTGTGTGTGTGTGTGTGTGTGTGTGTGGGTTTGTTTTTTTTTGCTTTTTTTTTCATCTTTTCTTTTAGTTGTACAAAGTCCTGTTTATGTGAGACAGCGTTATTGAAAATTAATTTTTGTTATATTGTATTTAGTCCATATTAAGATTGTGCCAAATTCATGTTTTCTAAGAGCATTATGATGAATACAAAATGTACCTAAAGTCATGTTTGGTGCCAGTTAAGTCACAATTTTATTTTATGTATTCTGGTGCTTTTAGTCATTTCTTTTTAGTTTGCTTTTGCTGTAATTGTTTTGGGGTTTTTTGGATCTCAGTTCTCCTTAAGAAGCTAATTGGAGGAGGATGCTTTCTCCCTGATTTGAAGGGTGAGAAGTTCATTAGCTCATCAATAATGAAGATCTTTTCTCTAAAAAGCACTTAGTACAAACTCACATGTCCATATGGGTTACAGTCCAGAACTATTTGTTTCATGAAATGTCACTTTTAATATTGTCTTGTTCCCTCTCATGATCTTACAGCACAAATTTAGAAAATCACCAGTAACATAGTTACCTGCAGTAATTATTTCTATCCCTCTTAGATCTTGTGTTTGTCTTATTTCACTGGTTATTGATTTGTTGTGCAAGTTACACCCCCTTGAACATATTAAGCACTATCAGTAGCTTTATTCTGATGTGCCTGGCAGCACAGTTAGTGAGAGGCCATTGATAACAAGAAAGAGGATTTTCGCCCTGTCGTAATTATGGCTGAGACAGTGGAGCAGTGTGCAGATTAATCCCTTAATTTTCACTAACAGTTTGGTAACTTAAGAGCCAAGTGCACCCAATTTAACCTGCTAGCTACTAATCTGTGCTGCCTCTTCAGCACTGGTGAGCGCACACTGCTGTTGGGTCTACACTCCAGATTTCGTTGAGGTTACCAGCTGACTCCTGACCTCTAAATGACAACTTGTCTCCAGTTTGCGTAATGATATATTTGAAATTCACTTATGAATTCACTTCAGAATATGTGTTATATAGAATATAACAACTATATATCTATAGATATCTATAGATAGAGATCTAGATATATAGATATATATCTATAGAGAGATAGATAGATATAGAGATACAATTGATAAAGCCTACATAAGAGCAAATAAATGGGATAGAGGTGATGCCTATTACTTTACTTTTAAATATTTATTATTAAAAGCTTCAGTTGTTGTGAATAACCACAGCAAATTGTGCCCTATAATCAGGAACAAACTAAAGGCTTTTTTTTGTTTTTGTGGACAGAATGATCAAAGCTTTTACTCAGTTACTCATTTTGGATTGACTATGTTGATTATATTTAGCAGGCAAGAATTTCAAAGCAGAAGAGCAAATGAGCTTTCTGACCAAGTTTGTACTGCTAACACTTTGAAATACATCTGCATTATAGAGTTCTACAAATACCCTGAAGCATGGGTTTCATGCCTATCCTGATCATTCTGGAGGGTTTTTTTCTTTTTTTTTTTTTTTTTTTTTTTTGGCAGTATTTAGTCTTTCAGTTGTAGCATCTATTCACATATGTCCTGCCAAGATTTCAGACCTCTTGTTTTTCACTTGTTGGCCAACATAACCGTGTCCATTTTGTCCCATGCGAGGTTATTTTGGCTGCTTCTGATTTGGCCTGCACCTGTTGGCTTTGGCTGTGTATTTCCCCCCGAAAAGTGGATGGTTAGTGTTCATCCAGTCAACGCAGTTTGGTTTGTGTTGAGATTGTCTGTTCCTGTGCTGTGATTCTGATTTGATTGACTGTATCATTTTGGTCACTGTCAAAGTCTCCACATGCAATGGCTGTAATGCTAGGTTTGTTTCTCAAGTCGGCCTCATATCTTTATCGGAAGTAGTGCTCATTAGTGGCAGTTTCTCACACACACACACACACACACGCAATCTGTTATATAATCAATGTACACAATAGATGCCCACTGTTTTGGCTTGTCTTAATGCGTTTGAAAACTTCTAGTTTGACAAATGCATAAGAAACTGTTTATTTGCTGTACTGAATCAAATAGTAAATGATGTATGCAGTAGGCAGTCTGAGTTGGTAGTATTGCTTTATAATGCCTTTATCCATAGTGCCTAGGTATATAGTCTATTGCTGCATTTGTATAGTTATATATTTTTTTTCATAGTCTGTACTATATTTCTAATATGGAGTTTCCAGAATAGTTTTTGTATGTCTTAGTTATTGTTTATACTATAGCTTTTATATGTGTATGTTTTTGTTTGGCATTTGTTGTGGAGGGCAAAGAGAATTTCTTTGCACGGGGAAACATGTTTCTTTATTGTGCATATGACAATACAACTTTGAAGCTTCAAACGTCTGATCAATGGCAGCTTTTAACCTACACTGTGTATAGTATAGCTATCATCCTGTTTTCTGCTGCAAGTAGGTGCCGGTTAAGCATTACACAACAGCTCTTCTATCGGAAACTTACCTTTTGGACTCATCAGAAATTAAAGTTCTCAGTTGAGGCTAAGAAAACAGAAAGGGGGCATGGCTTACAATCAATTCTGTTTTTTGGGTTTCTTATTTTTATTTCGGCACAAGGAAAGCTTATATGCAGCAAAAGATGAGACTTGTGTTTGTAAGCAGATGTTATACCTTTACAGCTCATTGAGCTGCCTTGGGCTCAGCAGATTTGCACTACCTCCTGTTTAAGTTGTTCTAGATTAACTGTGGTGTTTGCTTTCTTGCTCAAAGACTAAAATTCAGTGAAGCTATTTGGAAAGAGAGAAGTTACCTGTACCTGTATTAATAATGTATTGGCAGGGCTTGCCCAGGACCATGAATAGAAAGCAGTGAATATTAAAATACATGGATGGCTAAAAGCAGAGAGACTGAATAGTGTGTTTCTTTAGTGCCTTTTTGTGATAGGGATCTTGGTCTGTCTGCTGGCAGTGAAGGGTGCTTATTAACTTCCTTTTGCATCTTTCACCTTTTCACTGTTGTTTTTTTCTAAACATTCATTGTGCAAGTTTTCTCTGCCACCGCTCGTTTTTTTCTTCTTTTTTTCCCCTCTTTTCCTTCTATGCTTGGCCTATTTTGTCTTACTCTGTAAGCATCATAAGATTGTCCAGCCAGTTCCAGACAGAGCTTAATTTCACTTATATTCTATAGCATGTAGTACAAAATATTTAGGAGTAGGAAAATTAAGAATTAAAAAAACATCTTAAAGGTTATAACCATAGCCATAGCCAAGCATGGACATACTTTTAGTATCCCTCTTGTTTCTTTTGAAAGCTAGTGTATGCAGTTCGTGTTGCAAACCCCCATAGACTTGCTTGCTACAAGAAAAAGAGCTTGTCTGTTCAATATTTTACAGTGAGAAACTCTTAACAAGTGTCTCAGCCTGTGAGGGACTGTGAAAATGGACAAACCAAGATGTAGGCCAAAAGAGAGTAGTACCTATTCAGCCTTAGAAACTTTAAAAAATAATTAATGAAAATCTACTAAAATTAGAGAAAGTTATTATTTAAGATGTCAAGCATTTATACATTATGTATATTGTGTTTTTTATAATAGCTTTTTGACATATATAAACATATTTGTGGCGATTATTTCTTTAAATATGGCTAAATATAAATAAGGAAAGAATTTTTGAAATGATACCGAATATTGTTGGAATGCTGTTTCAAAATTATTGTGGCAAATATATCTGAATCACTTTGTTTTTTGTTTTGTTTTGTTTTTTGCGTTTGTTGGCAAAAAAAAAAAGTAAAAGAAAACAATATCTGTTTCTTTTTTTCCCAGTTCTGTGTGCAAAGAACCTGGCAAAGAAAGACTTCTTTCGTAAGTAAAAACTATTTTTATTTATAAGATGCTATTCCTGTCCTGTTTCCTCTCTTGTACATTAGAATGCTTTGTCAGCAGTGGTGGCTTGCAGCATTTTGAAGTAAAACTGGGAAAACTGTAAAAGAAGTCCCTTAGGAGCCATCTGTCTATTAAACACAACAGGAGCCCTGGTACACACTAGGACCCAATGCTAACCCAAATTCTGGTAATAGGAATGTGGCTCACTGGCACATAAAAACCAAACTAAAAGACTTTAATTGGACAGGATGGATATCGCTATTTTAGTCAAACCCATGAAATACTGTAAATAATAATAGTACTAGATTTAGTGGTTACATTTACAGTTTAGTTTAAGACCATGCAAGGACGGAGTTTATACTTAGCTTGTTTGTTTTAATTAAAACTTAAACTCATTGGTTAACTACCCTCAAAGGTTTACATACCTTAATTATTGAATTTAAATCCAAAATCATCAAGTAAACGACTACAAAAAAATTGTTTTAAAACCTTTTTGGTTTCCAGGTGTTATAGTTAAAAATTTGCAATGTAAAAGTAGGATTAAAATATAACTTACATTAGCTCTAACAGCTCAGCTTATGTTTATTAAAAAAAGGGGAAAAACAACTTAAAAATATATTTAAAAATAAATTGCCCAGTGCTTTGGCCAGGCCTGGCGTTGACTCAGACTCAGCCGGCCACTGGGCTTGCAGTACACTGCACTGCAGAAACGCTGCCAAAGTATACAGCCAAGAAATGCACTGTTTTTACTTCAGTTGGAAATTATGGTTTCTCTGAAAGCACTGAACTGCCAAAAGCAGCTTGTACTTCATTTTTGTCTTAAAAAAAAAAAAAAAAAATGCTCTTATGTATATACACAAACGCACAACCACAACAAAGGAAATTCCAAGACACCACTGAGTGACTAAACAGGTTTATCTTGTGTAAAGTGTCTGCGCTCAGAGTTTCATACCTCGGCAGTTTAAAAAAACATACACATGCATGCACAGACCTAGACAGGGACCCTAAGATAAATACACCATGAAGAATCTCTTATCAGATTTCCAAATGAGTGAGATACTGTGAACAGACTTGTCGTAAAGTTTTTCTGCATATTGCTTCATATGTTCCATGTGTTGTGTAAATGTTTCACAAAATACAATAGCCCGTGAGAAGATTTTAATTGTACTTTCTTACTTTTTAAAAAATCCTTCATCTTAAACATAAGATAAAGAGCGTTAAAGTTAGTATTTTATCTTATCAAATACCTGTTTAATAGGTGTATTATCAGTTATAACATGAAATAGGAAGCTAACCAAAACGTACAAAACAAGACGCTTGATTAGACTAATAACTTTCTTTATAGTGTCCATATATTTACCCACAAGCTTACACAGCAACACATGTATCCATCCTCCTGTCTCTGCTGGTTTCATGACCTTCAGATGAACCTGAGTTTAGTTTTAGTCAGACACTGCAGGGATATTATCATCATATGGGGAAAAATGTAATGTTTATGGACTACAGCAGATTATTATTACGGTTAAAAACCGGGGGGAGAAATGCAGAGAAAATCAACATGTAATTTTAAGAGGAACTCGCACAAAGTAGTGGTGTAGCTGTCAACCTGACTGTCTGTAAATGAGGACAACCAGATAAACTTGTCACTGCAGTCTCAAAGGAGTGACAAAAATAAGGGTTAAAAACTGTGTCACCTCTAGTGCCTCCATGATTGGTGTACCCACAGGGTTTGTACAAAGGTTAAACAAAATGTTTGTCCACTTTTACAGGGTTGCCAGATCCCTTTGCCAAAGTGGTGGTGGATGGTTCAGGACAATGCCACTCTACAGATACTGTGAGAAATACGCTGGACCCAAAATGGAATCAACATTATGATCTGTAAGTCAACAGGAGAAGCCGTGTGCCAGATTGCTCCTTACTCTTTGTGGCTAATTAAGAAACAAATGCTGTAAAAGTGTGCGTTTACTATCAATCAAATTCAAAATGGTCAAAAGAAACATAGAAGGAAGGAATGTAGTGTACTGATTTTGCTCACTCACATGTCTTTGTGTGGAAGGAAGGTAGATTGATTTGTATCTTTCCCCTGTTAAAAAAACAAACCAACCTGATCAATTACATAAAAACAAAACCTGTAGCGTAACATTTCAGGCGTTCCATACCACAGGCCTCACAAAAGGTATTTTCATTACATTTTATGTGGAGGGAGCCAACTTGTATTGATATGGTGCTCTAAAGTAACAGGTTATGTCATTTGTGGAAATAACTCCAGAAAGGTCTTCTGTGTGAATCTGAAGACTTTTTTTGGCAAGCTAGCTTTGTCTTAACTAACTGTGGATCGCACACATTTAAAGCTCTACTTTATTTTAATCTCTTTTAGGATTAGCCACATATCATCAGCCTTTGTAACACTATGCAACTTAAATCTTGAAACCTGCTCCTTCAACAAGGGCGGGCTCCTTTCGTTTTCTTTCTGTCCCCAATGTTTAAAAACACCTTCTGTTTGTTACGGTTTCAGATCAAGTATAAAATAATGTGTTCATCATCTTTTCTGTGGTCTCAGATATTGATTTCACTGGGGCTGTGCACTCTGAATGTTAATCTCTACCGAGGATTGTGTCGACAGGCCATTTCAAGAACTGATCACAGTAAACCCCTCTTTTGATTATGCCTATGCACTGGTGAGAGATGAAGAGATGAAACTGTGGTAACTGAAGAAAATGAGAGGAAATAAGAGGCCTGAAGAATGAGTCATGAAGAAATAGATGCACACATGAAGTCCAAAAGAAAGACAGTGTCAAGTTACAGGGTGAAAATATGTATCACAATTGGTATGTTGGCTCACTGTCTAGCAATTGGTTTAGTTCATCCTCGTTTTTTGCCGTCACAGCTTCTTCGATTCTGACAGTTGTCTCTATGTTTGCTTCTTTTCAACAGCATCGAAGTGTGCGAGTTACTTTTTATGTAATGAATAACAGTAATTTATAATAATAGAAATATTAATCGTGCACACAGCCTTAAATTAATGCAAATGTTAAAGTAAATACACTTTCGGTGAACATGCATGTGTGAGGGTTTCTCATTTCTCTACAGATGGACAATTCGAATATTTTTGCTCTGTCAACAATGACCTCAGGTTCCCTCCGTTTACATAATTCTCCTCCCCTCTCTGTTTCCCCACCGTCTCAGAGAGGGTGTATTCCCCACCCGCGACCCCTGGCCTCTTCCTCTGGTTCAGGAAATGGCTAACATGCCACAGAAAGCAAATGGGAGTGTGGGCTTGGCAGATCGCCAGCTCACCACACCCCCAACCTCAGCCTCTAGCTTTAGGAGGTGGAGTCTTTTTCAGCATGACACTGGTCCTGACAGGGGCCTTGTTATTGTAAATACACTAAAATAATTATTTGCTATTTTAGACTACAATTTACACACTATAATTCACCTTGGTGAATCACAGAAGATATTTGAGGACACAAAAAAAAATATCTAGTAAGTGTTGAAAGTTTATGAACTCTGCAGTATGCAGGTCTTGTTTTGGCAGGTTGTCTTTTCATGCTTGGCCTCTTATTTCCAGGCTTTTCAGTACAAGTCTTCACATTACTTTAGTTGGGAGTATTGGGTTTGCTTGCTGCTCCCTCTGCCTTTCCCCAAGAGACGTTAAATTCTGTACATGTTGTGTTGTACAGCCTTATGTAATTCAGCCGTCTTTATCACTGGGAACAAATCAAATCTTGTTCAGTTAGGATGTGTAAAGTGTTGAACACATAGATGGCATTAGCGTTGATTCCTTCTGGCATTTGTTGACATCCAGATCAATAATATATTGGTAGTAGTTGTCAACCCAACTCTCCTCAATATAGATCGCTTGACACAGGCATTACCTCTACATCAAATTTACCTGCCTATAATTTAATAAAAAAGTGCTAATTTTGCTGCTGCTGTGGCTAATATCCTTGTATTTTTCTTTCCATAAATGTGTATGTGGATGAGAGAGACACACACAGAGTATTGTCCCAAATTTAGGCCAGTAAGCTTTTTTATTTTTTCATAAAAACATGACGAAGGCGCCTCAGACCTCTAGATTAACTTCATGTGTTATGCGCGTGCTAGCATCTGTGTGACTTATTGAGAATGATGTCAGATACACAGTGCTCAGTGTGTAAATAAACCAAAGAATTCGAGCAAAAATAAAGGTTTCTGGGAGGGTTTCCTAACACAGTGATAAACTGTGCATATTTAACAGTGTTTCTCCTTAAATACTTTTCTTTTTTGTAGAATTACCCTTTAAACTTGGGTTTTGACAATAAAGTTTATATCTCATTTTTATCTGTAATGATCAGTACATTGAGCCAAAGTGCTTTTCGTACAGATGAGAACAGAAAAAAAAAAAACTGTTCAAAACACAACATTTTCACACTGTGTGTTAAAGTTCAGCTGAAGATCGTCTTTTGAGGCTGTGTTTACACAGAATGTGATTGGACGATCACAATGCCGAGTCAGTCATCTCCAACAAGTTAAGAATTTTATTGGTTTTATAAATTGTTAATAAAAATTTGTGACAAAAACAAGGGCTGAATCCTTATTGATCCTCTATGCTCTTTACATTTTAAGTTTCTGTATTTTTTTCCATGTTATCATCATCGTTTGTTTTGAATTCATGAAAGAGATGAAGAGTTACGGGAAAGAAGTTAGCATAGCAACATAAAGACAATTTTCTTTTGAGCAATAAGAAATAATTGATGAAGATAGATTTTGGAAAAAATTCAAGGATTTTCAGCGAGAACTTTAGGGGCCTGCACTTGTTTTCACATCCCATCTGTCCCAGGAATCATCTATTGAAAACAGGAAGCCTTGGTTAATTCACACTTTAGAGATGTGTCATATCAGCATTTCAAGTCATAAACCGTCCTGCAAAGTTTACTCAACTTTCATC